GATATCCCGTAAGATCTCAATTTTAGTGAGGGCCGAAGATGTGGAACAGTGTCAAAAGCTTTCGAAAAATCCACGAATAGCACGTCTACAGCGTGGCCACTGTCGACCGCTTCGGCCCAGCTTTCATGAGCTACAAGTAGATGAGTCTGACATGAAAATCCCTTGCGGAATCCATGTTGCGCAACACTAAGAAGGTTGAATCTATTCAGGTGGTTCTTCACTGAATCCCTTATCAGCTTTTCAAACAACTTGACTACTACGCTTGTCAAACTGACAGGCCGGTAGTTCGCGGGTAGAGCGCTGTCACCGCCCTTAAAAATCCGACAGATGATTGCCTCCTTCCATTCCGAAGGTAGGCTGCAGCTATCCAGTGATATTGAAAAAGCGCATGTGAGCGGACCACTCAGCTCAGTGGCCAATTCATGCAACAGCTTTGAATGAACTGAATCAGGACCGGAGGCTTTAGAGGGATTAGTGCCTTGCAGTAGCTCGAAGATCTGAGTCTCCGTTATGCTAAATTCATCTAAGCAATAATCGTCTGGAACGCATGAAACTAATTCAACCTGTGGTAAAGAGGTCTCCCGAGCAAAGCCCACAGTATACTGATCACTCAATATAAAAGCCTTGTCATGGTCAGTTTGCGCACGGGTCCCGTCTGCTTGCAATAAAGCTGGTATAGACAGTTTTGCCCCGCTGCGTCTTTTAACGTAAGCAAAAAACTTCTTAGGATTAGCTGCGGCCGAGTCCGCTAAACCCTGCTCGTATTGGAGACGATCAGTTCTGAGATGTTGCCTACATTTATTTCTAATCTCTCGATAACTATCATAGGTGCTGGCTGATGGAGCTGCTTGGTAGGTTCGCCAGCATCTAGACCGTTTCTTGAGTAGGTGCTTGCCTGTGGTATCTATCCATGGACGCTGTGCCCTTAACCCTCTTTTCCTAATGAGTAAAATATAGGGAGTGGAAACCTCCGTAAGGTATGCCTTAAATTTATCCCAGGCTAACTGGACAGAGTCAGCCATCGAGATCTCACAGTTCAGAACTGAAGCCTTAGTTTGCATTGCACTAAAGTCCGCCCGCCAAATATTCGGAAGTAATTCATCAGCGGTCTCTTGGTGCCTTGAAAGAGCACATCGAAAGGATATGCATGCGTGATCGCTGGATCCTAGAGGTGCACCGTGTGAAACGTCAGTCACGACGTCCAGGGACTTAGCGAAAACCAAATCCAAAGTAGATGGTATTTGGTTGTCCATATACCTAGTGGGACAGTCAACGAACTGGTGCAAAGGCACTTGGAGAGTCAGTTCAAGGAAGTCTGCACTTTTTTTGCAGCAGTCGCACCAATCTGCCTTGTTTATCGTAGTCTCCCAACAACGGCTTGTATAGCGCATTTAGCTTCACATACGCGTCATGTGCCCGAAAAGGTGCGCCCGAACAGGGGCTCGAACCCTGGACCCTCAGATTAAAAGTCTGATGCTCTACCGACTGAGCTATCCGGGCACGTGCGTCCGTACTACTCATGTGTTGATCATGATGATAAATAATAAAGCAGATTTAAGCTACAGTAAAATAAGGGTGGTATGGAATAAATTTAAATCCCATTGAAAGGATGTGGGTATTCAGCCTGTCAATATCTTTTGAATCGTACTCGATGACATAAATGTTGGGCCAACTAAAACGCATTAATCGTTTATACAAGAAAGCATTTCATCTCGAGCCCATCGCATACTTTTGCGGGGCTTGTTTACTTTTAATATACCTAGGCTGCTTTTGTTTATTACAACTTCGACTTGTAAACCCCAAACGTCCAAATAAAGTCAGTAGATATAACGACTTGCACTCATTGATATGGTTATAAATAACATTACTTAATGCTGAAAGTTGCTTTATTAAAAATAGTAACATAAACTAGACCTAGGCAAAAGCCGCAACAACCCCTGATTATAAACGATTTTATATCATCTGAGAAAAATAGGAATGCAAGCGTAGTACCGGTCAATATGGTTTGAGTTTCTATAATAATGGACATTTGTTGGCTTATTCCCCATTTTCCTGGAGGAATTTTAAATCTGCTGCTCCAAGTATTGCATCTCAGCAACTGGAATGCAATGATAATGAAGGCAGACGAAGCTTTTATAATTTGTTTGCAATAATCATCAATTAATGCAATGGATTTACACTTCTGCAGACAAGGGATCGCGTTATACACACAGAGGCCGAAAAGGAAAACGCTATGGGCTCTTATTTAATCAAAGATTTGCAGTTTGAAGAAAATAATATAGCTACTTTATATGAATGCGCTAGTTGTAAACACCGAATGTCCGAGATTAAGTGTTGATCCTTACAAATAAATTCTTAACACGCTGATATATACTTGTCATGTGTCAATATGATAAAATGTTATTTCGGCAGACTTTTCTTGTGTAACAAGATAATTGTGTACAATTTTTTTTACTTCAGTTTATACTGGATATCAACGAAAAATAAAAAGTCGACACCAAAAACCAAAAAACCAATGTTTCTGGACAAGAATAATGCAGTGATTGAGTCTGATTTCCTTAATTTAGCTAATAGCCAGACATCTGGTTTAGTGGCTGTATTAATCTTATGCAAGTAGTCAGCGAAATTTTCGCGATACTAGGCAAAAGCAGGCTATGCGAATTTTGGAATTATTCATCTAATTATATTACCAGGTTCACGGCTAACTAACGTTTGGAAATTGATATCTACGCTTAGGTATGATAGGGATAGTTAATAATATTTTCAACTTAGCAGACTCTGGCGATTAATTTCGAAACTTAAGTGCCAGACAAGGCACTTATATATTTGCAATAAGATCATCCAAAGACGGTTCAGGCTAGGGTTTATTACAAACGTATGATTAAAATAGCACATAGATTGTAACAGTAGGTATAAAACTAGGTCCAAAATTGCCCAGCATATCTGAACTTGTTAACATGTCTTGATTATGTCCCAAAAGTCTAGTTACTCTACTCTTCAATGCCGGACAAAGGGTCACTCTTTCGGGTGTGAGCTAGAGCGCACTAAATTGCCAACTGTCCAATAGTAGATGTTGGTCTATCTCAAAATGTCTCATCTGGTCACACAGGTGTAGAACGACCGTATGCATAAATGTGGGTACACGTGTACCTGCCAGTGTCATCCATCGTAAAAACGCTGGATCATGCGCGGATGGTTGAGTTATAGGAAACCTATGACACGCCCCAAGACAAGTTCACCGATCGATACATACGGTGTGTCGGGCTGGTTGGAACGAAGACAGGTGTGTTAAAGCGAAACAGCAGTGCCTCGCAACCGGGGAAATGCGGTAGAATTGTGGCGACGCTTGGACAGGCGTATCTGGCCTGAGCAATAAGTGTGTAATAGATGCTTATTGTTATCCAAGCTAGTTACAAAAGGGTTATTGACAAAGCTTTTATCGACTGAAAGTTACCTTCCAACAAGGTAATTTAGAAAAAAAACCTTCCTTACAATTAGCCCTTGCAACTATGAAACAAGACGTTATGAGAAATGAGTCTTAAAAAGCTATTCCGCCTAAAGACTTCCCGCTGCCGCATAGCCTATTCTCCTGTCTCAGTATTGATCGCCGTTGCAGTAAACAAGTGTGGTTACACTGCCCAATTAGTTTCGGGTGGGACCATGAGCGTTCATTCCATCATATTCACTGACGGAGCAATATTTCATTTGCCTGGAACTGAGAAGCTGCATTTCTAGAGAATTTTTAATCCTCGCGGATACTGCGAATCACATATTGCACGCAGCTCATAGGCTCAAATAATGTATGTTAACTCATGGGACCACAGCACAACAATGTGCGTTCTCATGCAGACCGTGAACCACAAACCCATTATGCTGTGATAAATTTTCTGATACATTATGCTGCGAACTCCAAATACCAAGTTCAAATGGATCAGTAAACCACACTTTCAAGGTCTGTATGCTTACTGAAAAGTTGTTGGATAATTCTTCTTTCCTTTTGTGTGACTGGTATGTTGTTCTTCGGAAGCGCTCATCCAACGCCAGAGTCTGTACGCCGATGAACAGGATACAAATACGTAACCGCGTAGTCTATACTCACAACACCAATTCGCTTACCTCGTCTCCGCATTCCTTAGGAATAATCGTTAAAATGAATTATTACCATTGTAAAACAAGTTGCAAAGAAGTGGTCAGTCTAAGCGCTGTCGAATCAGCTTTGCTCCTGGAATGTATTCTGGCCTGACGCACATTTGACCCCATTTGTCCATGCACCAATTTAGTCAAGAAACCGGTTGTAACGGTGAGGACGCATATAACACAAACAGCATAAAATGGTGATATGTCCGTCACCGTACAAGATGCCTCAACTTGCCCGCCGGCGCTCAGCTTGCAGTGTGAAAATCGCATAAGGCAATAGGCTATAATTCCGTGCGCGGTATTGAGGAGCTGTTGTTTCGATTTTGCACGCCTGCCTCCGTTTCAACCAGCCCGACACACCGTATGTATCGATCGGTGAACTTGTCTTGGGGCGTGTCATAGGTTTCCTACAACTCAACCATCCGCGCATGATCCAACGTTTTTACGATGGATGACACTGGCAGGTACACGTGTACCCACATTTATGCATACGGTCGTTCTACACCTATGTGACCAGATGAGACATTTTGAGATAAACCAACATCTACTATTGGACAGTTGGCAATTTATTGCGCACTAGCTCACACCCGAAAGAGTGACCGTTTGTCCGGTATTGACGAGTAGAGTGCCTAGACTTTTTGGAACATATGGTATGTGGAGCTGGTAGTTTACTAGTTTCGATGCAGTGTCTACATTTACATGCAATGCTGCACCTTGAACGAGTACCTGAACCTAAAGACACTCTCTTGTCAAAGGTAGACTTGACTTAAGGCACCACAGCTTTTAAAATTTCTCTGATATATAATAATGTTAATAATATATGAAATGCTAACTTTATGACAGCCACCATTGTTTAACTTCAGATGGATCTGGATACTCCAAGCTCGGCATAGACTCAGACCTAATGGAGGCCACCGTTAAATCGCACAACGTGAAGGAAGTATCCGTTATTCGAATTTACGTGGTACTTAGCAAGACAGATCCTTCAAAAATTTATGGCAAGCCACCGTATGATAATATGTTTGAGGGTCCAGACTTTACGCTTCAGTCTGATCAAAATGGTTCCCGCTGCCAAAATAGCCATAAACTACCGAAGACAAAAGGTTCACGGAGAGTGACTGTGGCAACTATGCAAGAAAGTGGAGACTCCTTCAAACCGCAATGTATTCCTAGACCAATTTCTTCGCATGGCCTTTCTGCAGAAGGTATTTGGCAAACCAACTTCCCTTCTTCAGGAAATTCGGTCACTGCTCAGTCTGAATTAACGACGCGAAAGTTATCACACCAACATACAAAATCATCATACCAACCGCCTGCCTCACAACTAGAGGAAGACGAACTAGACGTAGCGGTTTCAACACTCCGATCGATGGGCTATAAGCAAGACAGCGCCATTCTGAAATTCCACATAAGAGAAACAGGAGGTAACTTAAATGATATTATCGACAGACTTCATTTGCACACTAATGGCTAGTATAATGCGTTATTACTATTCAGTATTTGCAAGCTGCTTTTTACAAGTGTGTTCCAACTCTTATGTACAGGTAGTCTTTCAGTCAACTGCTTGCATTTATATGCCCTTTATCTATCACGCCGGTCCTCGTAAGTGTATGCACAAAAGAACTTTGTCCATTCAGATAACATGTTAGTGAACAGTTCTCACGAAGTGTCTGTTATTATTACTACTGGTAAAACTCCTTTCGCTTCAGTAATTGCAATTAACAATATAATGCGAGGTATGAGCCACACCTTGTAGGACATCCAATTATCCTCGCCGGAAGCGAAATGCTTTGGTCGAACACTGTCGCTGACAACATACGGTAGACTTGGTAATCAGAGTATGGCAGAAAGTGCCGTGTCCATAGAGCTGATGCACTGGAGTAATAAATTGATTACATAACAGTAGTGCCGGGGATTGCTTTACTTTCCGTCAATGTTTGCTGCGCGTCAGAGTATTCTGTAATCCCAAGCTGCAATTGTTGTTGAGCAAAGGATAAGTAAGCATGTAACTTAAAGGTCGGTTAGCGGGAAAACTGGATGAGAAATATTTTCTAATACAAGAAGACGCTAAATGTTAACTGCAGATGGATGCCACTCGACTGTTGATATCTGGACAACAATTAAAGTACCTTTGGAGCGAAAGATTGTGGATTGTAGATTGTGAGCTGGGCAAAGTGACGATAACTGACGAACCATAGCCAATTTTCTGCAATAGATGACGCAATTTGTCTTAGTTGCCTTATGTATCAAATATTATCCCACAAACCTTGTGATGTTTTGTCTCCAGAGGCGCTCCGTGAATCTGGGACGATAAAATATTCCAAAACGAAACTGTCAGTTATGCTTTTCTAGGCATTGCTAACAGTTTTGACAAGTCGTATACAATAGAGCGTGTCAGCACTTATATTGGAAAAATTATGAAAGAACACGTTGGAAGGTAACCAACACCAATTATGGACCATCCACTCGGTAAGCACGTAAGACACTTTGAGTACAAGGAAGTTCTGCTCGGTAGAATTCGTAAGCCATGCATGCTACAATTATAAGCAACACACCATTAATCCTTAAGCGTATGGACGAAAAGAAGATTACTGGTTGTATTGTCGTTGGAGTTGCGTAAGATTTTTGAAAGAAGTCTGGTTACAATAGGATACTAGGTAAGGAATTGGCAAATAAGGTAAATCAATGGGCATTTGATAGCAATAATTTATCTACTACTTGCCCCTGGCCTTGGGTCTGAATATGGTTCTTCTGAAGTTCTCTATTAAAAAATTATAAGTGTATGCTTATGTGGACAGTTCGTTAATACTTGCTGAGCTTGGTACCGTCTGTGCCCCAACATTGTAACCCACACTGACAATACTTATTAAAACTGCTGCTGCAGAAGACCCAATGACTAGGTTCGAAGATTGTAGGCCAAAGCTTGTGGAATAAGCAACACTTTTTATGTCAGCATACTAGTTGGCACGCTTGGATTTCTTCTGAAGATACGATCGACCTTGCGCAGGCAAAACCGGTTGCAACACGTGAACACCCCACTAGCTAAGTAAAAACCTAGCAATTTCACTACCAACACCAGTAGTTCAGCAGACTCAACTATCACATTATTGTCATCCTCCATGGCTCAGTGGCTGTTCACTATAGCTCAGTGGCTTTAGCTGCTAGCTAGTTGACAACTGCGTCTAGCGGTCTTGGGTTCGATCCTTAGTAAGGGACCGAGAGAATGTGCACTTTTGACGAGCCTCCATAGGGCGAAGCGCATCTGATGTTTTTATTGGTTCTACAGAGATTGTGGTCAATTGACTCGACAGCGACGCGTGTTGTGGAATAAATTCCTCGTGTCTGGCTCCGTTAACGATTATGAGGCGTACAACAGGCATCGAAATCTATGCAACAACGCAAAAGCGTGAAGTCGTTGTCAGTTCGAAGAGCAGCTTGCAACCTCAGCGAAGACGTCCCTAAGAAGATTTTTGCTTACCCGAAGAGACATCTGAGGCCCGTAAGTGACGTAGCAGCGTTAGAGGGCATTGACGGACAGCTTCTGACCTCAAGTACCGAAAGTGCATCCGCATTGGCGGAGCACTTCGCTTCCGCATATGCAAATGAGCATGCGCCTATGTCAAGCTCGACGTGTGCAGCCCCTCCGGAACTCTAGGGCCTTGATTGTGGTGTAGAACATATCCGAAATTTACTCGCCAGTCTTGATGGCACAAAACCTGCCGGATTCTATGGACTTCACCCGATAATTTTGAAGTCTTTATCGGCCATCATCTTGCCTGCCGTGACGGATCTATGCAACAGATTGCTGTACGAAAGTGCATCGCCAAACGCCTGGAAATGCTCGGTAGTGAAGCCGATTCCAAAGATTGTGACCCATGCAATGTGGACAATTACCGACCGTTTTGTCTCCCCTCTGTTTTACCAAAGGTGCTCTAGAAGAATGTGTAAATAAGTATTCTCTAGCTGCTGGAGTCGAGAGATCTCCTAATTCCGGCACAGCACGGCTTCATGAAGGGCCCCTTGTGCAGCATCAACATGCTCTTGACGCGGCAGGATTATTTACAAGTGTTTAATCGATGGGAAGTCAGTGGATGTCATCTAAATTATTTACGTAAGGCTTTCAAGAAAGTAAACCATGATGTTCTGCTCCACCTGCTGAGGAGGTGTGGTGTTGGTGTCGCATTGCACCATTGGATCAGTGACTTCCTTATTGGAGGAAGATGGTGGGTTTGGGTGGATAACCACCCAACCCAATCGTACACATTCACTAGCTGCGTACCCCAAGACACAGTATTGGGGCCTAGTTTTTTACTTTTCAACTTTAACGAAGTACCTCAGCTTCTTCGTTTGTCTTGTGTATTATTTGAGGATGAGTTAAAGATTTGGAGGAGTTTTGTTTCTCTCGACGACTGTGACGTTCTTTAGCAGGACCACGACTGCATATCCCGGTGGTCGGTAGAACTCGACCTACCGGTCAACACAGCCAAGTCCTCGTTTATGAGCCTGGGAAGGGGTGGTACTGGTCGTGCGTACATCTTGGCCAGCCTCCCGCTGCATCCCAAAAGTTTCGTAAAGGATTAAGCGTACTCTCATACTGTGGTCTGAAGTCTGTCGACAACACGAAGAAACTGTACGAAAACGGACTAAGCCTGATTGTGCATTCCGACGCAACTTCTGCACTTGGTCTAAATAGATTGCCCCCCATCCGTTCTTTTCCAAAACAGTACCGGTGTTTGAGTGTTCTCTGTATCAGTCTAAACGAAACAATAAGAAGACGAGCACTGCAAGATGACACTATTTCGTTTTAGCTGACCACCTGCAAACTAACAACAAATATAGATCACGTAAGGGAAAAAAGCGATCATTTTGAATTGGTCAGAAAAAGTTCACACAAACGCAAAACAATAGCTGGTTGCGCAGAGGAAAGGTCAGGAACCCCAAGAAAGCTTAAGGGATACTGTCTGTAGCTTTTGCACACGAAGGGTGGGACGGTAACGATTTAGGACCACAGCTTTGGCAAACTTCAGCACCCTGGCGTTTTAGTTTTTGTAGTAACCGTAAAAGTTGACCGACGGTCAACTTGACGACATGTACTGACTAGGTGTTTAGCGATGCATGGTGCCGGCAGTTTTCTTGCTGCTTCTTGTCCAGTTGCTTGTTGTGCCATCAACCTAGCAATTCGCTTCGGAATGTGCTCTCTAATCCGCTTACTCAGACAACGATCTGTATTGCCAATGTAATTCCTTCTGCAGGTAGAGACGAATTGGTAAATGCAATGAGTGGTGGTGGAGACCGGTTGAGTAGGCTTGATTTGGGGAATTGGCAGGTTTTTGGTTGTCCAGAAAGAACTGAGTTTGGCAGCGTTGAATGTACAGCGAATAGCTGTGTTCACCGGTCGTTCAATTTGCGCCGTCACCCCATTACCTTTGATGGTTAGCTGTGAATAGACAGGTATTTTGGGCACAATAAGTACTCTTGGTTTCTTTTCCTTTTGGGCGACCGTGAAATCTGATGCCTCTGGATATCCATTGACCCGTAATGTCTGTCTGATGAAGGATAATTCCGACTCCATACTGCATATTTTACGGGCATGATGGAACAACGTCGTTACAAAACAACGTTTGTATTGGACCAGCGCAAAGCTCTTGAAGTTCTCATAAAGGCCGGTCCATGTAGCTTTCCTGTAAACAGAGCGTTTAATTGAAGCATCGTCTCATCTTATTAACAATACACCCAGAAAAGCAAGACACTTGTTGTCTTCTAGCCCTTTGGTGAAATGGCCGTTGGGATGTGCATTTTTGAGAGCTCAGCTGAATGCGGTTTACACGCGGAGACCTTTAATACTTCCGGGATTCAAAGACCGAGTGGGTGATCATCTCCACTCAATTTTAATTTACCAGTTCACCTGCCCGTGCGAGGTCAGGTAAATAGGACGGACGAGCAAGTATTTAGGTAAGAGAATTAAGGAACGCCTCCCACGTTGGCTCCACAATAGCGAGAATAGGACAAAATACAGCGCGATTGCGAACCACCTAATCAACACAGGTCACCAGATAAACAAATAAGCAGCCTTTCAGATTCTCTGCAGAATAGCAACAAGTCACAACCATTGTGTAAGAGCAAGCGCACTTGCTTATAGCTTTTTGTTTTGTCTCTCTTTCGACACTGAAAAGAGACTGAACAGTTTCTACACTTGGGACAATCACCAAGGTCTCATCTATGTATCGCCTGTATGGGCACATCTGGCTTAGCTAGAATTCACACCTCGAATCACCCATTGCCATAAATATATAAGCCATTGCCGGGCCAAGCGGAATTCCCATAGCCACAGCATCTGCCTGTCGATAAACTTGTCCATTAAATAAGAAGTGCACATTTTCTGTACATAATAGCAGTAAATCCCTGAGGTATTCTACGGGAATTCGCAAGGCTACTTTGTTATGCGTGATGAACTCGCACAAGTAATCCACTGCTTCTTTGAATAGGATGTTGGTGAACAAAGTCTCTACCTGCATAGAACACATAAGCTTGACGAAAATATGCACATCCTGCACACAATCAATGAGATCAAAAGTGTCTTTCACGTTGTACGTCCTTATCCTTTGTCTCATTGGTGTAAGCATGTCGACTATCCTAAGTGCCAACTTGTGGTACAGGGAGTT